GGGCAGGTGGGGGAAGGTGGGGGTACCTGGGCTAAAGTTTGCTCCAGCAGCTGAGCCTGGGCAATGCAAGCCAGTGCCCCCCTGCCTCGGAAGCAGAAGAGGGGTCCTGGTTCAGAAGGAGAGGACCCAGGCAGCCAGATCGCTGCCTGCCATCCCACAGCAGCACTTGCCTGGTGAGCTGGCAAGGAGCAGTGACTTTGGCAGGAGCAAAGGGCACCTCCTCCTCAAAGGGCATCTGCCAGGGCAGAGCTCAGCCTCTCCTGCCACCACTCTGTCAATGCTCTCCAGGCATCAGTCACCTCTGTCTGCTCTGGGGACAAGCCAACTGGTGTCCTCCCCTCCTTTCAGGCTGTCTCCCATCCCCAGCACAGGCTGGGAGGAGGCTGGGGGATGTTTTGGGGGCACGATGGGGTGTAGGGCAGCCTGCAGGTGGCTCATGCAGTGTGGCTGGGGCACCAAGGACACGGTCCCCACAGGTGACCGAGCACAGAGCTACTGCCTGAGCCAGTGCAGGGCATGAAGAGCCTGGGTCAGCTTTGCACCAGGGACAAAACCATACCTTGGTTTCTGCCTGGGGCTCTTTCCCAAGCTCGAGTCCCAGCTCCACAGCAGGTTTGCAAGTAAAGCTCCACTCATCCTGAGCACCACCCAGTCTTCCAGCTTCTACTCTCCTCAGAAAGGAGTGATTTGGAGACCTTGGGACCTCCAGCCTGATGGATGTCTCCAGAGGGATATCAAGAACCAGGGGCATGTCCTGCAGCTGCCTGAAAGTCTTGGCAAGAAGATCCAGGAGCCTGAGGCCACGGAACAGACAACAGGAACCCCTGGGGTCATGAGAGCCGTGGCCATGGTGGGGCAGGAGCATGTGGCAGAGGCATCCACAGGGTCCAGTGCTGGGAGCTGGCCATGCTGCCATGCTGGGGGAGTTTGGGGGGACCACTATCCCTGTTTGGAGCGTTGCTGGTGCCACTGACTGAGTTTCCCTCCTCTCCCCACTGCAGGTTGCCAGGTAACACAACCTGCCAGCAAAATGCCGTGGGACTCGTGAAGCTGCCACCACTCAGAATCTTGTGGTTGCAAGCAGAGGGGCTAATTTTGGAAGGGGATTGGTCCCCTATTCCTTGTGCCGGTAGGAGGGCAGTGATTCTATGCCTTAAAGGCTGGAAAGCAGCTGGATACAGCTCCCGGTGTGATGGTAGACTTGAGCAGAGCTGCAGGATTTTGGTGTGTTAAAGCCCGGTTGGGATTTGTGTGGCTGTGGGAAGTGAAGCATCAGCTGTGCACAGCTCTGCTCTGGGAATCTTTACTGCTCAGAGAGGTCCCTTGGCCCATCCATGTGCCCCCTTGAGCTGGGGACATCAGTGCAGTGGGGAGCAGCAGCAGCGGGATGGGAGGGCACAAAGTTGTGGAGCTGAAGGTGCTGTGATAGCCAGGACAACCTCAGGGACATGGTTCCTACTCACCCCATGGATCCCAAACCTCCCAATGCTGGCTTTTTTCAGCAGCCATCCCTCCTGTCACTTCTGTGCTTGCAGGGTGCTGAGGGGCTGGGTTGAGCTCAGGTCCTGGCTATCCATGTAAGGATCTCAGCAGTGGGTATCTCCCACCTCTGTCTGCCACCATCCTGCTACTTCTGGGTGTCCCTTGTGCCCCCAAGCCAGGGCTCTGTGTCTACAAACACTGGGCAAACTCCTTGACCCTCTGCTTGCCAAAAGCTCCCCTTATTGCCTTTGACATCTTCTTTTATCGTGTGCTGAGGGGCTGAGCCTGGGGCTCTCTCCTTACAGAACTCCCTGCAAGTGGCTTCCCCATTCAAGCCAGTGCTGTTTGCATCTCCAGCCTCACTCCCTGGGCTGGGGAAGAAACCTGGAACATCCCCTGGGGCTGGTGGCCGGCCAGTCCCTCCACAGCTGGGGTCACCTTAATGCAAATGGTTGCGTGAGCGTGAATGAAATGAAGGGTGCTTGAAGGAAGGTGTCACTCCAGATAGATGTGCACAGGAGGGGACAGGGCCTGGGAAATCTTTGCAGATGCAGCAATTTTCCCCTCGTTTCAGGGGAAAGTAGTCTTTGTCTCTCTGAATCTGCAGTTTGCTGCCAGCCCTGCAATTCCTTATGACAGCTGTGGCCAGGGTCAGGGGAAAATCACAGCCTCTGTCCTGCAGGTGTAATGAGGAGGGGAGGTGGAGGGGGACTGGGAGCTGGCGGGATCGGGTGGCAGCTCACTCCCTCTGCACTGACTGCGTTGGCACTTCATGCTTTGCAGGGAGAAAAGGCTCTTGGTGGGCAATGGAGCAGCTCCCACGGGCTGAGCCAAGGGGTCTGTACAGCAGCGGAGCTGCTGGAGGGGCATGGGGAGGGTCAGAGACCTTTCCCTCACCGGTAGGCTCTGGGACTGGTCTGAGGGCTTTGAGAGCAGCTCTGCTCCCCTCCAGCAGGCAGTGAGGGCGCAAGGGGGATGGGGACATGTGGCAAGCCACAGCTGGGAGATGCCCCATGCAGAGCAGGTCCCCATGATGCTCAGGGCAATGTGTCCCCAGCAACAACCCACAGCCTCCCCTTGCTGCTGGGGCAGCCCTTGCCTCCCCTCCCCTCCCTGCTTTCCCTGCAGTCCTGACTCCAGGGAACACGGGGGGTGTTTTCCCTTTCTCTCCCCATATTTGTGCCCAGGGCACCAGGGACCCCCACACGCTGCTCTCCCAGGGACCCAGGGCTGCTCCAGCCGAGGATCACCACCATAAATAAAACACGCCAGCGGGAGCTGGCGGCTGCCGTGCCTTCGCTCTCGTTATTATTTCATACCCTGCTCCCAGGCGGGTTTAGCTGCTTTGCTCACTGAGTGTTCACCCGTGGCCTCCACGTTCCTGGCAGAGCCTCAGGGCTCCCTGGGGTCTCCCACCTCCCCTCATCTGTCACCACCCCCTTGGCCAACCTTGTTGCTGGGCCCCCCCCAAAGCCTGTGAGGGTTTGAACCTACCTCTTGGAGGAAGGGGAGCGGGATGGGTCTGTCCGGACGGGCGCTGACGGTGTCTGTCTCTCTGCCGACAGAGGATGAGCTGCGGGTACATCCTGTGCACCGTCCTGCTGTCAGTGGCCGTCCTCCTGGCGGTGACAGTCACGGGGGCCATCCTCTTCATGAACCACTACCACACGCCCGTCACCGAGTCGCCCCCCGTCATCAGCACCAACCCCGAGGAGGCCAACGCGCTGGTGACCATCGAGAAAGCCGACAGCTCCCGCATCAACATCTTCATCGACCCCAACTGCCCCAGCGCCGCCGGCACCCTGGGCCGCATGGAGGGGCTGCAGATCTCCCTGCTGCGCGCCGTCACCGACCACGACGCCGAGGCCAAGGCTACCAAGAGCCAGCAGAAGGCCCTGCTGGTCACGGTGGCGGACGAGGTGGCCAAGCTGCTGACACACGCCGTGCAGCTGCGCGCCGACTGCGACGGCCTCAAGAAGGGGCACAGCGCCATGGGGCAGGAGCTCAGCGCCCTGCAGGGAGAGCAGGGCAGGCTCATCCAGGTGAGCCGGGGCTGTCAGCGCCGTTCGGGGCTCCCTGGGGATAGAACACCCTGTCCCGGTGTCCCTGAGGGCATTGCTGGTTGCAGCCCCTGCCCATGGTGTCTGGGGGAGACCTCCAGCAGAAGGAGCTGAGGTTGAAGGTGGGTTCTTGGGAACTGCAAGTTGGGAAGTGTCTCGTTGCCAAACCACCTCAGTGCCAGTGAGCTGGGCATGCAGCCTCCCACATTGTGGTTCCCCTGGCTCCGGGTCCAGTTTGGAGGTTCCAGTCAGAGCTGAGCACAGCACAGGACCTTCCCAAGGGCAGTTCACACAGCAGTCACCCTCCCCTTATTTCCAATCCCCAGAATTGCCAAGCTGATGAACTGTATTGCAGTGCTTACCTGGGTATGCTGTGGGTCTGCCAAGTGTTGTAGCAAGATCCAGGGCACGGCTGAGTACTCAGCTCCATGCCCGACCCTCCTGGTGCTCAACTCCCTCCATCCGGAGCTGTTTGTTTCTCTCTGCTTCGCTTCGCTCCCCATCCTGCTGCTCTGCCACGGCCACCCCGTGTCACTCTCCCAGCCCGGGTCACCTCAGGGAACGATGAAGAGCTGGTGGCTGCCTCAGGACACGGATATTCCTGCCGCCTCCGTGATCCTGTCCTTTGCCCAGAGATGCTCTTTATCCTGAGGGGTGGCAGCACTGACACACCCAGGTTCAGGGATTTCTCAGCCCTGGTGGCAACAGGCACTATCTGGAGCCTGACCCACAGCCAAAAAGAGATGCCGTAAGGGATCTGCTTGGCTTTATGTCCCCACCAGCCCATGCCCTGGCAGGGAGCACTGCTGAGCCGTGGGAGCAGGCAGAGCATCCTCACAGTGTCAAGGGGCTGGGGCGTGGAAAGGGTTTAACCACATTTAACCACAATTCCGTGTCCCCCCCCGCGTGTCCCCTGCCCACAGCTGCTCTCGGAGAGCCAGACCAACATGGCTCGGCTGGTGAGCTCCGTCAGCGACGTCCTGGACACGCTGCAGAAGGAGCGGGGCGGTGCCCGGCCCCGCCTCAAGGCTGACCTGCAGCGAGCACCGGCCAGGGGGGCGCGGCCCCGGGGATGCTCCAACGGTGAGACTTCATCCCTGCCAGTCCCTGGGGAGAGGGATGTGCCTGGCGCTGCTCTCGGGAGGGGGAAAACCACCCAAGATGGGGCAAACCACCCTGGAGAAGGGATTTAATACAGCGAGAGGGCTGGCAAGGTGGTGGAGGAGGAGGGAGACAGGGAGGTGTGTCCTGGGAGAGGGGGTTTCTCACCACGTTTCTCACTAGTTGTCTGTAAACCAGCACAAAAGCCACTTCACACCCCTGCAGACCCACCTGCTCCCCAGGCAGATGTATCTGGGGCAAAGGCAGAGCGAGGAGTGACCGTTTGCCTCCATTTGGGTGCAGAGGGTGGCCCTGCACGGGCTCGAACAGTCACATTTATCAGCGTTCGGTTGAGTTGCAGCTAAGACTGTCCTGGGGTCGTGAGCACATGCCCACCCTCTGCCCACAGCCCTCTCTGGGCATCGGCTCCCCAATCCCCAGCTGGGTCCCAGCGTGCCCTTGCCATCACACGGGGGACGTGGGGTCAGTCCCTGCAAGCTGCTGGGGGCTCCCCGTGGTGCAGCGTCCCCTTGGGCACCACTCACCACGAGCATTGGAGGAGAAAGGAAGGAAAGAGCAAGGCAGCACCAAGCAGCCAACTAGAGCTGGAAGCGAGGTTGGGAGCCTGGAAGAAATGGCAAGACACTAAATTAGATCATTAATTAACCAGCTTTCCTCGTCCCACCCCATCCCAATGCCACGCTGCAGGCTCCCGGCCCCGAGACTGCTTTGACATCTATGCGAGTGGACAGCAAGAGGACGGGATTTACTCCATCTTCCCCACGCACTATCCCTCCGGCTTCCAGGTCTACTGTGACATGACGACGGACGGGGGCGGCTGGACGGTGAGCTGCCACCAGGCTGGGGGACACCGGGGGATGCCACTGCTGGCCACGGGCTGGCCCTGTGCTGGGATGCCGGGGGTGGGAGATGTCAGTTTTGACACTTGAATGTGTCGTTAGGATCTGGCATAAATGCTGAGGGGGTCTGGCTGCACACAGGGGCCCAGTCAATGCCCGTGCTGGCAGCATCGACTGAGCTTCCCAGCGGTGCCAGCCAGACCCCTGAGCTGGAGCCCAGCAGCCCTGCCCTGGACTGGGGTGGGGAGTTTGGCTGGAGCTGGTGGGTGGTTTCAGGCAGGGAGTTGGATGCCAAGGCATCCAAGGAGTTTGTCCTTCTCAGTGGGGCTGGGGCACAGTTGGGGCACAGCGTGGCTGCAGTTGTGCCATGGGGCACATGGCTCTGCTTTGCCGTGTCCTCGTGGACGTGGTGAGCTGGTGCTGGGACTCAGGTCAGACCCCAAACCCAGCACTCTTGGCCTCATCTGAGGCCAGGGTGCCTGGGGCGCCTGGGATGCTGCGCTGATTCACTCTCTCCCTGGCTGCCCTGTCCGATTCGCTTTGCCACGGCGGCTGCCACAGCCGTAATCACAGTAATGGGGGCAGGGGGAACGGGGGGACACGGCAGCACCAAGCTTGGAGCCCCCCATTGCCCCAGGGACCACTTGGGTGTGAGCAGCCTCCCCTACCCCAGAGGGCATCACCTGGGGTGCCAGCAGGGCAGGAGGCGGTCCCAGGGAGGTGGTGGGGGCTCACTGGGAGGGGTGGGCAGGCAGCCTCTGCCCCGGGGACACACTGGGTGAGCCGGGCTAGCCAGCACCCCTCCAGCTGGGTGCTCTAGGAAACAAATCCCCACGATCTGATTCCCCTAAGCAGCTTTGAGCAGTGCCAGGAGGGAGCTTAGCCCCCCTGCCCCCAGGGACTGATGAGCCTTTGACCTCCCAGCGCCCACCCTGTGCGGGAGGAACCTGTGGTCTGTGGGTTAGTAGCAGCAGCTCAGGTGGGGAAGCCAAGTCACAGTGCAGCCCTGGAGACCTCATCTCTTGGGGGCTCACAGAGGGAAAAGGGGAGGACCTCTCTGGCTCTTCAGGGTGTGGAGGGTCTTTGCAAACCCCATGCACAGTCTGCACAGCCGCCACCAGCCCCAGCCATGCCTGAAGAGCAGCCCAAGGTGATTAGTGAGACACTCAGAGGCTTATTTAAAGCTGCTGCAGCCGGGAGGGCTCGGGCTGAGCTGGGGAGGGGGCGAAGGAAATGATTTTAAGCCCAGCAGCACCGTGGGGGCCTGAGAATGGGATGGCACAGCACTGCCTCTGGCACCACAGCCAGGCAGCACCTCAGCTCTGCCCTGTCTCGATGGGATGAGGAGCCAAACCAGGTGCTGAATCCCACTGTTCCAGAGACAGACACATCCAGAGCAGGGTCAAGAGCACACAGCCCAGGCTCCTGTTTCTTGTGGCTGCTCTGCAGCAGCAGGTCCCAAACATACCTCTGGTCCCTTGGGTACAGGGGTTGTCTCAGCCACATCCCACAGGGCTGGGCACGAAGAGGGTCCTTGTGTCCACTGGCTTATCCAAGCTCCAGGTAAGCCATGGCACAGCAGGGTGTCGTGGTGCAGAGCCTGGGAAATTTCCCTCCCCTCCTCCTCTCTGGAGCGATTACTCCTGACATTTGGGCTTATTTGCATGTGGGTGGGTGGGTGGAAGTGATGGCAGCAGCTGAATCAATTTTGACTCGGGAGCTTGGGAGCTGCTGAGCTAAGCTTTAGCCTGCACGGACAGCTTAGAGACCACAGGGCAGGGGGAAGAGCTCACTGGGTGCTGCTCAGCACCTCCCCGTCCCCGCGGTGTGATCTGCGGTGCCACCCTGTCCCCTCGCCAAAGGCAGCTCCCTGGTCACTCCCCATCCCCTGCCTCGGGAAGGCTGAACAAGGCACAGCTGTTTTATCCCCCCTGGTCCTGCCTGCCAGCCACATTTGCAGCTGGTGGGGATGTGGATCCAGGTCAGTGCCCTGTGCTGATGGGAACATCCCCATCCTGCGCTCAGCACCGACTGTAATTGCAGTGGCTGCCCTGGGCTGACCTGTCCTCGTGGCAGTGCCGGGGTCCAGCTCTGTGATTGCCCAGCCTGACCCTGACTCCCTCCTTGACACTCACCTCCAGCACTTTATTAAAGTAATAATGGGATGATGGATGGCAAGGAAGGCTCAGTGTCTCAGGAGGCTTCAAAAAGTTGCCTTTTCATGTGCTGTTTGTCTTTGGAATGTCTTTGCAAAGGCCACACGCTCCTCACGGTGCCCCTGAGCCTCCATCCAGCATCTTGTCCCTGTAAGCCATGGTGCCACAATGGCTGTGTGCCTCAGCATCATTTTCCATGTACAGTGCCCATTGGGAAGTGGTGGGAAAGCTGAAGGATGCAGAAGAAAAGGCTGTGCCAGCAGGACTAGGGCTGTGGTAATGTTAAGCGACAGCTTCCAGCTTCACGGGCACCTGCTGTGCCAGGCACAGCTTCACCAGCTCATCCTTCACTGGAGGGGTCCCAGAGCAGGCTGGGGGATGAGCAGACACATGGGCTGGGTAGGCTGAAGGCAGCTGGAGGGAGGAGCCTGGGGAAAAACCTGTTGTTTCCAGAAGATATGATTTATGTGTCTCCACGAACAGGGACGAGATACTCCTGCTGGTGGGGACAGGCAGGAGTTCCCGGGATGGGCTGTGGTGATCAGCACTTCCCAGAGACTGGCCCTGCAGTGCTCTGGGATTGCCTTGTCCAAGGCTGAGCCTGAAGATGGTCTCCCTGCTGTGATGGGGCTCAGAGGAACACTGTGGGGCCAGGGCTGTGGGGTCTGTGCCACAGCTGCTAAAAACCCGACCAGGAGCCCAAGTACTGCACAGGCAGAGAAGTGATGGCAGAGTCTGTCCCCAGACTGGGCCTGCCTGGGTTTCAAGCACACCCCAGGTTTGGTGGAGCTGAGGGAGAGGGAGCAGAGCCCTTCCTCACTGCCAATGCCACAGCAGTCACAGGCTGATGCTCCTGCTTTTCTCTGCTTTTAACCCATTTTTCTGGTTTGGTGCCTTCGCAGGAGCCTGTCCCTGTCCTGCAAGTGTGACCAGGGGAGGCAGAGAGTGAGGGAGATAAATATTTCAGCCTCGCCTTTAAAGGGAAGGAAATCCTTTTTGCTTAAGAGGGGGTAATGAATATTTGATGAGGAGGAAAAGAGCAGCGAGGCAGGGCTTGGAGGGCGATGAGCCTGTGGGTCTCCCGTGCCCCCAGCATCCCAGTGCACCCAGTGTTCCAGTGCCCCCAGCATCCCAGTGCACCCAGTGTTCCAGTGCCCCCAGCATCCCAGTGCACCCAGTGTTCCAGTGCCCCCAGCATCCCAGTGCAGGCAGCATCCTGGTGTGGGAGGCAAGGAGGAGTGCATGGTGGATGCACAAATGAAGCACAAGGGGGACTGTGCATAAGAGATGATGAGGATGGAGCAGGAGACCTGGGAGGACACAGGACCTCCAGCACCCGCCAGCCCTTCCAACCCAGTTCCAATCCCCCTTGGGGACGAGCCTGGTGGGCAGTGGGGCACTGAGGGCTCCTCTGGGGTGATTCCTGATCCGTGCCAAGGCTCAGCCAACAGAGCCATGTCCCTCATGCTTCCCTGGGCACCACTCAGGCAATTGGCCTATTTAAAACCACGGGTCAAAGCCGATTAGGAGGGAGCATTGGTGCTGCATCCACTGCCTTCCCCACACGGCAGCGCCGGAGCCAACGCTGGCTGAGGAAAATCAGCTTCAGGCCCCCGTCCAGCCGTGCTGTCCCCCTTTCGCAGCAAGCCTGAAGAAAGCCCCTTTAAGTGGGCTTAACCACAGCTTCTCAAGTGCTCAACGCAGGGATAAAAATTAAGGCTCTAATTCTAGAAGGTAAGTACAGCAGGATCAGAGCCGGGCCACGCCGAGGAGCGTGTCGGAGCCTGCGGCCAGCAGGCACGGCCCCGAAAATGCCCGTCTGGTGAAGGGCAAGCTGGTGTGAAGCTCATGAGGGATGAAACCCTGCTTGTGCAAGAGGGCAGGAGCAGCCCAGGGGAGCAGAAGCACGGTGGCTTCCCAGCCTGCCTCAGGGCTCATCAGTGTTCCTGGAATTGGGGTCCAGCCCCAAAGACGGGGTGCTCTGCCCAGCCAGGGCATGGGATGGCTTTTCCTAAATCACTGAGTGCTCCCTGCCACAGCCACAGGAGTGCAGAACTTGGTGGGAGTGGGGCAGACTGGCTCAGCCAACTTTAATGCAATTAATCCAGGACTGGAGGCTTAATTAAGTTCAAATGGTCAGATACGAAGCTGCATTATCTGGATTGCTGTCAATAAATCAAACCTGAATAAAAGGGGATAAAAGGGGATGAAACACACAGGACACAGCACACTGATGAGCAGATGGCAGAGGAAAAGGGAAAGGCTCCAAGGAGAAAAGACATGCTGAGCCCCAGGACCTGGAGGCTCTGCAGGGGTCAGGGTGGTCAGTGCCCCCCAGATAATTTCTCTGAGAGATAAAGTCTCTGGGAGACTAACGATGCCATCACAGGGATGATGCCTTGTAATGGGGTGGCTGCCCAGGAGAGCATGGAGATCCAGGAGGGGGAAATCAACTGCTGGGTTTTACACAGCTCTGAACACACACGGTTCGTAGGAGTGTGTTGGACTGGTCTGGGCCGCACGAGCTGCAGGACAGACCTCAGGTCATGCTGTCCATCCATCTGTCCTTACC